CTCAATCTCCCAGGTCTCTGGTAGAGGACCTGAGAATGAGGAATAAACATACCTCCCAGGAGAGGTGAGAAAATCTTTTATATATATATATATATATATATATATATATGTATACCTGTATACCTTGAGGAAGACCTGAAGAGGTCGAAACGTTGATCGTTCATTCAATTATGTTGGATATTAAATACTATTAATTATCTTCAAAAGACCACAGAGTGCATCTCTTTACTTTTTGTCTATACCCAGCATGGGATTGCACCAAGGCATATCTTTTCATGGACTGCATGTAAGGGTGAGTGCCACTATATCTATATATGTGTATATATGTGTATATATATATATATATATATATATATATATATATATAATCCTGGAAAATCCCGCACTCAATTTGCCGGTCTTGTACTTGCCTCGGTGCTACCTCAGCCGTAATGAATATAGAAGAAAAACGAGTGCACTCCAGAGGTCTTCTTTTTAGAAAAATGACATTAAATTTATTGCAAAAACGTGTAGTAATACAACATGATCTAGTATATATATATCCCCTTATTGGCATTTTTAAGTGTATATTGTGTCTATTTTATTTCAGAAGAATTTCAGAAATATTATTATAGTTAGACTAGTTTAGTTTTAAAGTTTGTGCTATACATATCTCAAAATCAACCATTACCTGATTACACTTACAGTACATTAACCCACCAAATAAAGAGCATAAATAATCCTCTGGGGATTTTTGCCAATTTTGTCTTAATTAATTTTACATAATTTCCCTATGTGAAATTAGTTTTTTGATGTACTGAGTGGATCATGATATATGAATATACTCACTCTGTGAATGTGTTGAGATTTTTTGTACATATTGTTATTTCTTCCGAAAGATGCTGTCATTGCAGTGTATGCAATCACTAATTGCTTCTCTTTTTCAGCAGCCTTTAGGTAAAAATGTGTACATAGTGCATTAATAGTTGTAAGTTCTCTATGTGGATGTTGAAATTAGATTTTAAACAAGACAGTAGCATGTGGAAGGGCTGGATTTAATGCTGCTGATGAGGGCTGGATGTTTCTCCTCTCAGCTGCAATACTATAAGGCTTAGCATACAGGGTCATTTACAAAAGTGAGAATTCAAAGTGAATTTCAAATTGAAGGCCAGAGTAGCTGAACTGAAAGCATACCATCTATCTACCACCGGGATACACCACTGCATGTAACAGGTTTGGAATCTAATAGCAGCAACTAACAGAGTATAATTAGTTTTAGAATTATTTATTATTGCTTTCTTTTTAATGCTATTTAGTACCAAATGGGTCATTAGAGCTGGAAAAGGCAGTTATTGATTTTTTAAGTCTGATATCCATCCGGAATCTTAACTGAACACTATAGTGTCAGGAATACAAACAGGTATTCCTGACACTATAGTGCTGAAGTCACTCAAGTGCTCAATCTCTCGGTGGAGATTAAAAGTGTTCTACTCATCCACCTGGCTCTGCCTCCATGGCTCAGAAAATGGCTCAAAAATGCAGAGCATGGAGACGCTGAAGGTAGGTGCGACACACTGGACCAGGAGGCACCTCTAGTGGACATCTGAGTGACTACCAGTAGATATTACATAGTTACATAGTTACACAGCTGAAAAGAGACTTGCATCCATCAAGTTGAGCCTTCCTCATATATGTTTTTGCTGTTGATCCAAAAGAAGGCAAAAAACTCAAAAACTTCAATTTTGCAACAAACTAGGAAGAATTTCCTCCTTGACCCCAAAATGGCAGTCAGCTATTATCAAGCAGCTATTATCCCACTAATTAGAAATTATATCCTTGTATGTTATGTTTTTGGAAGTATTTATCCAATTGCTGTTTAAACATCTGTATGGACTCTGATAAAACCACCTTTCCTTTGCCTTAGATTGTAACGGATCACCTGGCACCCCGACTGGGTACCTACGTTGAAGGATGCTCCTAGTGCTTCCTGAGGGCTCAAGCACTGCAGCAGACACCATAACCACTGCAGACTCCTCCAGAGAGCAAGACAGGAACAAGCTCTTACAAGAGCTTAGTAGTGATATAGCAAGGGAGTATGACTAGCATAGCAATCCCTTGTAGCAGATTCCCCCAGTAACGAGACGACACTTCGTTTTGAGGGTCGAGCAGAACTGACTGTACTGGCACATACAGCCTCTTTTATTCCCAATCCACAAATTTAGTACTGCCCACAGGGTTTTACAGAACAACCAATCAATCTGTACAATACACACAGACACTCCCACACAAAATCCTCCCCTCTGCCTGTGATATGATTACTGAACACAATGGTTAATCTAACTATCACAGGCAGAGAAATACAGTATCATAAAACACATCACAGGGACCCCAAAACATGCAATAACCCCATATATCCTTGGAACCGGGGGATCTGGGTGAACCACATATCCAAAATTCACCAAGACCCGTTCAGTACTTTGGAAGATACAGTTTAATGCAGATTCCACAGAACAAATGCAGGCTAAATGAAAAACAATTACTGTATAATGTGTCCCCTGTTGTATAGTCCAAAACCACTGCACAATGTCTCTGTGCACCAAATACCGGCGAGATGGCACCGTGTTGAAAAGTCCAAACAGTGTATGTGAGTTAAAATGGCCGCCATCCATTGTTCTTACCATGTGCTTCATCCATTGTTCTCACCATGTACCTCTGATACAGGAAATGGTGGCAACCCAGTAACTCTACAGTATGTCCCCAGATGGTTCTTAAAGGGCCAGCAGCAGCACAACACAAATCCATTATGCCCAAATCATGTCTTTAAATGGCAATACATCCCAGGGGCCATAGTCACATGGCAGGAGGCTGGCAATCAGTCTTCTCCAATGCCCAGTGGCGAGGTCGGTTTCGCCACATAGATAAAATCTCCTTTCTTCCAGCCTAAATGTGTGACCTCGTGTCTCATGTATAGCCCTTGTTAAGACACCCCTGGTGTCTTTAAGGGAAACCGCCGTTTAGCTCACCTTCCCCTAATCCATTCGCATCAATTACAATACACGAACATAACCAGGGGAAGCGGTAATCTCCCGACCGGGATCCGTGAAAGGCTCCAAACTCCTGAACGGAAATCCACGAACTGCTGCTAGCCGCCGAACAACGATATCCACCAAGCGGCTTTCGGTTCCATCCAGCAGTCTCTAAACGCAAAGAAGAAATCCCCCCAATAACGAGACAGAAGCTCCGCATTGAGGGTCAAACAGGATCTGGCTTTACTGTGGGCTACCTGCCCGTAGTTATGCAGATCTCCCACTTGGTGGACACTCCCCTAGGGGACCAAATGGGAGACTGGAATTACAGATGGACATGAAGACATTCCAGACATACAGTCACAGTTTTTACCCACAATGCACTATGGTTTCCTCCCCTCTGCCCTGGAGATAATTGAGAAGTAATTCAATTATCTCCAGGACAAAGACAATCGTCATCTTAAATATAATACTAGAAAATACATAAAAATATATAACTTTAAAATAACCGAAAATTTCCCGTTTGAATCACATATCCCCAGATAGCCTGGATCTGAGGGATTATTATTAGCCAATAGCGCTCAGATCCCACACACACACACACAGTTCAATCGCCATGGAGTCAAAGTCCTTACAGTCTTTCGGTATGCGACTGACTCCATGGGAAGGCTATCTGGGTTAAGTCCTTTCGTGTGTTACAAAACTCCCGAACGGCCGGTGTTCGTACGCTTTCGTGGAGGCAGTCAGGCGTTCCGTTGCTTCAGCGGTGTTCGGCAGAAAAAGTGTCAGTTTTTAGTTCCATGAAAATAGAGCCGAACACCGCTGGGCTTTCGCGTGTTTTAAAATGGCCGCTGCCTCGTGGTCGACATACGAACGATGACCACCCTGAATTCGGTTTAATTGAGAAGTGTCTGCGGTTAACCACAATGTTCTATTTGGGATCAATAGGTTAACCAGCAACAAACTTCTCTCCTGGGTGGCCATCCGTTCAGTAGTTTTGTTCGGGAAAAACAGTCATTTGTATGGCTAGGCTATAGGAAACAGCCATTTACACGAACGGGGCAGAAACAGACGAATCCACTGCAATAAACAGACAGATGGTTCTGTCACAGCCCTGTTCATAAATAGATTTCCAGATAATGGTTTGTAATGGCCCCGAATATATTTGTATAATGATATGTTACAAGGCACCAAGTCATATATTCCCCCTGCATTTCTAGATTAGTTTGGTTTTAAATATTTTACCCTCTAAAAGACAGGAATCTCTTGTAATTGTCTCTCTTTTGTTCTCAACCTAATTAATGTTTTCAGGGTGTTCCTCAGACCTCATGTTGTGCTGCACACATGTATAATTAAAGTATTTAAAGACTCTGCATGTGGGCTTTTGCAGAAATATATGTTGTCAGTAATTGTGCTAGGTTACAGATGCTCAAAACAGTAGTTCGCTCACTAGATTAATACTTATATGTTGGTGAATGTCGCATCAGAGGCGGCTCTCTAATTAGGCAGTTTAGGCAGCTGACTAAGGCCTCGCGCTGGCTGGGACCTCGCCTGAGGGCAGACTGTGTCAGGTCCTCACTCAGTGACTGAGGACCTGACACCAGGAGGTGGCCCAGCTGCTTGCCCGGTATGCCGCCGGGTACGAGGCCCCTCCTGGCTGCCTGGCCAGCCACCGCAGATACCGGTCTGCAGCTCCACAGTGAGCAGAGCTGCAGACCATGTGTCTCGCGAAAACCGGCCAGTCAGAGCATTGCCGCGGGTTACCACGGCAACGCTCTGATGGTCTCGAGAGATTACATGGTCTGCAGCTCAGCCTCACCACCCCAACCACCCTCAGCCTCATCCACCACCACCCTCAGCCTCACCCCCCACCACCCTCAGCCTCACCTCCCCAC